TCCCATGTTAAACTGAAATAAAATCTAAAAAATCACTTAACTTTTTTTTTTTTTTTCAGTGGCCCTAATCCTCTTCCGTAGAACCTGCAGGGGTGTTTGCCAGGGTCTAGATTTGTCTCCTGTCTTTTTCTCTCTTTTTTGCTTCACTCTGTTCTCCACCAGGTGGCGTCAGTGAGAGCATGGTGGCTGGGTGGAGTAGCAGGTGTTTCACATCTACCTAATCAGGAGTTTAAAAGAAGCCTGCTGCCTGAGAGTCTATCAGTGTGGTAAACTATAGCCCTGTAGTGTGTGATTGATTTCAAGTTTCCTGGAAACAATATTTTGTTCTCAGGTTCTCAGAGTTCTGGATTTTGTTCCAACCCTCCTTCTGCTTCAAGTTTTCAACTTTAAACATTGGAGAATGTATTTGGATTTCAATTCCCTGACTGGAAGCTTTCTGACTTGTCTTCCTTTACTAGTGTGATCTTGCCCTGCCAACCATCCACTGTGCTTCCTCAATCTCCTCACTGTCAGCTCCCAAGCAACCCTGAACTCTCCTTCTTTCTCAACCAGAGAAAGAAGCTCTGGCTACACAGACCTCCTGGACATTTTTCATCTCCTTCAGACAGAAGGACTTCAGTCTCCGTCTAATTGCTCCTTCAATATTTTTTTCTGAAATAGAGTGTTCTGTATGTGGGTTAAATGTGTCCCCAAAACCATTACCGTATTACCTCTAAAACGATGTGTGACCAGGAGCACTTTGCCATATTTTCCTCTGCCAATCTCCTTAACGATGTTAAAGTGCTCCTGGATCTCCAGCTCTCCGATGCTCTGTGCTGTCAGCTCCATTAGCTCATCGATGAGACTCTCATCAGCGAGACCCAACTCAATCATCTGCATTGCAAAAAAAAAATAATGTATTCATTCATTTTTATTCCAATATCGATCATATTAATGAAAGCTGCAGTTTGTGTGTGCAGGCATTAATGTGACTGACTTTCTCACAGCTCACATGATGAGGATCCCATCAATCGGAATCAACACGAAATTACTTCTGTTTAAAAATGTGTCACCAAATTTAAATACATGTTTCTTCTTTAATTTATGTCTTTAAAAATTATAAACCAAAAAAGTGAATAAGACAGTACAACAATATCGAAGTTGATATTGTTGATCATTTTTGAAGAGTAACTGACAAATGTCTTTGCCTCCTATATAGTTTCTTTAAAAAATATCAAATTGCTTAATCGATTAAACATGATCATATTAATCTCATTTTTTGTGTTAAAATCAATATTGTCTATCCAATAAGCATCACTCATAAATAAGGATTTTTAGCAAATATCTTGTCCCTCATAATAGTTTATTCAAATCTCAGATCAGTTTAATCGACAATAGTCATTCACTGCAAAGCTGCTTACCTTTTCTCTTGACTGCTCCTTAACTAAGTCACTGGAACTTGATTGCTAGAAAGTGCAAAGAAATGTATTACAGCTTATACTAACATGAGCAACTCTAGCTGATAAATGTATAACTTCTCTTCTTTCCAGCCTTCACTTTGCTGCTGCTGCAGGAGAGGATCTGAAAGCTCTGCACTGCCTGGCTCACAGCGCAGCTTTCAACTGCTGGGATGCATCAGAGCCAACTTAAACAGCTGATTTCAAATTGGCTCTGCAAAGGACACACAGTCCTTTACCCCCACCCCAACACATACAATCAAACACACCCCCTCTCGTCTTGTTATATGTAGTGAGGACCATGTGTTGATTGCCAATGATATTCAGTCATTTTCAAACCTTTCTATGCGCTAACCCTAAAGGTAACCCTAAACCTAACCATTAGAGGTAGATACCTCACCCTATCCCAACTGACTCCTTAGCCATAGACCATGCACATCCAACGTCAGTCCTTGAGGGTCACGTCCTTCAGGTTTTAGAGGTTTCCCTGCTTCCATTGATCTGATTTCCATTGAAAGCGGATTAAAAGGCTTGTGTTGAACTGCAATCATCAGAATAATCTGATTTGGAGCCGAGAAATACTGAACCGCTGTAGGACAGTGTCCCTCAAGGACCGACTTTTGACATGCCTGTCCTATTTTTATTATTAGCAAAATAACTTGTCCTAACGTGTCCTCACTCCAAAGGTTAAAAACTGAAAATGATCCTCACTCTTACTCTAAAGCAGGAGCAATTCAATTTGTTTATACCTAACCAGATAAGGCAAATGCATATATATAAGACATATTCAATTTTTTTATTCAGTTTATTTTTCTCTTGACATGGTTTGGCCTTCAACACTTAAGGCCAAAATCACATTTTTTTCATTTAACTTCAGAGTTTCCAGTTTGATCGTTTTTTTTTATTACAAGACATCAATTTGAGATTATAATCCCAGCTGAAGAATGGTTTTCTAAGGACTGTGCAGTCATGGGGTGCATCAAAGATGGACAAGAAGCTGAGAACAGAGAGCTAATGATCCGCTTTGTGGCATGGTGTGGAAACAATCGTCTGATCCTTAATGTCAACAAAACAAAAGAGATGATTATAGATTTCAGAATAAACAGAAACAAGATGAGTCCTATTAAGATCATAGGAGAAAAAGTGGAGCTGGAGGAGTATAAATACCTTTACTGGAAGTGTCAGATCAGATTATACTTTAACATCAGAGCAAATGACCTAAAGAAGCTTAATGAGCTAATTAAGAAGACCAGCTCTATACTAAAAACTCATTGAAAACCTCTGGAGATTATTTTACAAATGATTCTTCTTAAAGTGAAGAAGATCATGCACAATAGTGAGCATCCTCTTCAGAAGATTTTTAAACAACAGAGTGTCTTCAGTAAGAGGCTTCTCCAGATCAGGTGCAAGAAAAACCGCTACAGAAGATCCTTCCTGCTCACAGCTATCAATATCTACACCTGTTAAAAAAAAAGCTTCTGAGTAAATACAACATTTCACTTTCCTTTGGGATTAATTACATATTTTTTGAATTTGAAGTGAAGAGTCAAGTTGTAAAAGAGGAATACCTCCCTTATAGAAGCCTCAGGCACACCGATGGCATCTGGCTGCTCACTAAGAGGCTGATTGATGTTTTTAGATTAACATAGATGATGATGGCTGCTGTTACTCCCTTAACATGCTCCCTTAAGGGCCCCACATACAGTACTAGTGCTGAAACTTTCTCTGAAAACATTCATGCAGACACCAGGCAGACTTTGCATAGACAGGTGCCTGCAAAGCTTTTGTTTGAACTGTGTACTGCTAAGTGGAAAAGTAGTTATTTGCTAGAAATAGGTATTCATACAAAACTGTTCTACATGTTTCACTGAGATGAAAGGCTCCCCTGAAATGATTGATGGCAGCGACAGACTGTCTAAAGCAGCAAGTCACAAGAACCTGGACTATCTCAGTCACTCTCTTGGCCTCACTGACATCTGGCAGGAGAAGAAAGAGCGCAACGTCCCCTTCTAAGATTTTTTTTTCTGCTTTATGTTTAACAGCATACAGGTTTTACTGTATCCATTTTCTCCCGCTTAGTCCTGTCAGGGTCGCACTGGGGGTGGTCTCTATCTCAGGCAGTCTATAGGCGACAGGCAGGGTCCAGCCTGTTGAAGGGCAACACAGAGACACACAACCATACACACACAAAATCACACCTAGAAACAATTTAGAAAAGCCAATTAACCTTAGAGTCATGTTTTTGGACTGTGGGAGGAAGCCGGAGTAACCGGCGAGAACTGACAAGGGAGAACATGCAAACTCCATGCAGAAAGACCCCGGACAGGGAGTCGAACCCAGAACTTTTTTGCTGCAAGGCAACAGCGCTCCCCATTGCATCACTGTGCAAGGAAAAGGAAAAAAAAACAGAAAAGTTTCACAGATGGTAGAAAATAAAATGCAAGGCGGATTACAGTACTAGGTTCCTCTATCAATGGGGGTTACCCACATTAATTGTACAAAAATCGTACTTGATCTGGATACTTACTACTGATTTAACTTTCTGCACTTGTCAAGGCTCAGACAAATGGACCAAGAATTTAGGCAGACAGAAGAGGTTAATTTAAAACGCTTTATTGAAAGCTCTGGATTATGCGAGGCGTCAGCTTGGACCGACTTGCTGGATTCTCTGATTATAAGTTCTGTCCATGTCCAGAGGAAGGAGTGGGAACCAGTCTGTTGTGAGCCACTCAGAACAGGCGGCAGGAGCCGCCCAGAGAGTTCAAGGAGCGGGGCAAAGCAGCCTGTAAAGCTAAAGCGAGCAGAAGCTGAGAGCAGAAGGTTGGAGAGGCAGAGTCCAGAGCAGGTAATGAAGCAGGGCTCCAGACCAGAAGATCAGAGGGATACAGAGGTACCAAGGGGATAATCTAAGCTGGGGTCAGTGGAAACATCCAAGGTCGTTAACAGGCAGAGTACAAATAGCAGCCCAAAAACAGGAGACAGGCAGAAAAAAACTGGAAAAGGGGCAAACCAAAACTCAGCTACCGAGGGGAAGAAACAGCTCAGGATCAGGCGGTCAAACAACAATACAGGTACGCTCGATATTTCTCAAACAAGGATTGAATAATCTGGAACTGATGGATTGAAAACAGGCAGCATAAATTGGAGCTGGAAACAGGTGGATCAGATGAGCGGTAATGAGGAACCAGGGAGAGTTAGACAGGTGAATGGAATGAGCAATCAAAACAGCAACTGGTGCCAAGATCATGACAGCACTATATGTCACCAGTGGGTTTCAATAATTCTACCTGGAGAGACTCAAATAGAGAAAAAAGCCATTACAAAGATTTTATTGACATGAATGAAATAAATTCTTTGGTGCTCTGACTCCAGCGGAAGACATTATGCTGCAAGATATCATGAGCCTGGACGAATAACTTAGGAAGAGGATTAGACTTATCTTACCCTGGGGCTCCGACACTGGTGGTGGAATAAGCCAGAGGATGACTACAGGAGACAGAGGAAATGGGATGGAGGATCCAAAACGTATTCAGAAAGCAGAGAAAAAGACTTACGACCCTACAGTTCTAATAACGGTCTCACGTACGTGTTGAGCAGAGCTGTGACCATCCAATCACAGACCCGATTTAGGGACTCATAAAGTGAGCTTCTCAGGATTGACTGCGGTGTCAGCCAATCACACAAGAAAAGATGAAGGGCCAATCAGGAGCTTGCGGGCAGTCTAAGCTCAGGGAAGCAGGCTTCAGCTTGAGCTACAATTTTCCACTTGGTCCTAGAGTGTACTGTAGCATAACATTGTTTTTGGACATTAAAAAGTGCAAGGGACCAAAGTAAAAAAGTGCAGGGGACATGTAGCCTGGGTGCCAGTCCGAACTTAGTCCCGCCCACAAGGTTTGAGTTCGGGGAAGTTCGGTCTGGCTCTGCTCCATAGTAGCGCGAGTATTAAAGCCCACTGTCAGGCGATCCAATCAAATTGTCAGGGCGGGCTTTATACGATGATGGACAGATGATCAAGAGTAACGTAATCAACCACCTGACCAAAGCGCGCTTGGGTGACAACAACAATGGCTGCCGCTGGAGAGTTGAGGTGTGTAGATTCTGCTATTAGGTCTGTTCTAGAAGATATCGACAGCAAATTAATTTTAAAAGAGGAACAGAGAAACGCGATCAAGGCTCATCTTCTTATTCTAGGCGTGAAACTGCACGTTTTGATTTTTGTGGACAACAACTATGCCTCGCTTAACATACGTCACGCACTCCGTTGCTCTTATTGGTTGTAGGTCTATCCAATTGAGTGCAGAGGCATTTTTTTTCCTGGTTCGTTCGAAACACGCCCCATAATCACAGCTCTATGGGGCAGCATCAGACTCATTCTGACTAGAATTGAGTCGGACTACGTCAGGCTAGGGGACATGTCCCCCGTGCCCCAATTTAACATCCATTGTTGAAGCACATCAAGATGCATCAAAAGATCCTGCAGCGCCTCTAGAGCAGCGGTAGGGCAACTGAGCAGCTGAAGCAGCGCTTAATGAGCTTCTGAGCATCTGAAGTGAAAGAAGCGCTTCAGAAGCAGCAGCTGCTGGAGTTGGAAAAATGTAACTTTTGCTGCTGGACGCCCCACATCGACCAAAGCTGATCTGGGAGCTGGCAGGGAGACAAACACAGCGCTGCTGATGCAAAGCGCTATGATCACTCCTCTGAAACAGTTTATTAACAACTAGATTAAGTTACAATGTCGAAACCTGCCGGCACAGTATGTTTGCTTTTATTTGTCTTATACCTGCAGTTTTTAAAACATACCTGAAAAACTCTAACTGTCAGGGCTCCTGTCTGTGTGTTTGTTATTTGGGTTTGTCTCCCACCAACAGGAGGCGCCTGGTTCCGGTTCGCCTCCTCACACACCTGCTGACGGTTTCCTCATTAACGGAGTGTTCTTAAGCTGCTGATTGCCACTACCTCGACGCAAGAGTGTTTGCCAGTTTCTGGTACTCTAGCCAAGCTGAGTTTTTCACTGAGTAAGACTGAGTTCTTGTCTCCCTGAGTTTTAAACTTTGCTTTTTTGTTTTTGCCTCTAGGCAGGAAGTCTTCCTGCAAACTGGACCTTTTCGGACCTTCTCTCCCAGGAGGGATCAACTGTGTCTTAAACTGAGCCAGGGATTCAAACAGGAGGTTTGGATCCAGTCTCCTTTGAGAACGTTGAAATTACATGAGCAAGGAAATCATCTTCAC